CAATTAATATGTTATAGGAAACAGAAAAGGGAACCTTTATCTGTGTTCTGAAATGATGTTAGTGTGGCGATCCTCTCTGGTTCTGCTGCAACGGTTCAATATTTTTGAAAGTGTCATGTGGACAGAAAATATTTTATAAACAAAGAAAAAAATATTTACTTAAAAAGTATTCAGAGTCGTGCTGATGTAGCCTTACCCGAGATATTTACCATAAACTACACAAAGTGCTGAAGTTTTCTGTCGGAACAAAATGTCCCGGCACTTTAAATTATTTTCCCTGAACATCTGTTGTTGCTTTGCAGCTTGTATGGATTAGGCTTCAGATGTCAAACGGACATACAGACGATGTGAACTTTCATTTCATGAGAATTATTTGGATGAGCGCTTCACAAAAGCATAAGTACATTTGAGATTTTCCTCTCGCGATGAGTTTCGACTGTTTTMTCTCGGACGGTTCACTGAGAGCCTGAGGACGCAGCAGCTGATGAAGTGATGACTGGATGTTTGTTTTGTCACTGAAGCTGAGTGTGAATGAACAACAGAACCAAACATCCTGAAAGCAAAACGATTCTCCTGACAGCGCTTCACTTTGTAACCTTTCTTRATACGGACAGACTCCAATCCATTCTGCCAAGTTTCATCTGTAACAAACTCAGAAAAACTCACTTTCAGGTTGAGCCTGAGGACTGAAATCAAAGGCAGCTGATTTTTGAAAAAGATTGATCTCTTATCCAAAAGTCTTTAGTTTGAACTGTCTGATTTYGGGATTTTAGGCTCATGTGGAGTCACAGATCAGATGTTCAAAGATGAGAAAAAGGCAGAACTACAGCTAACTTATTGGAAGAAAAAGAGGGTTATTAATTAAAGGTTTGAATAATGATGTCAGGATTTATTAATTGAACCTAAATTGTAAAAAAAAGAATAAAATTTAGAACAATTGTACTCAAAACCTAGAAAAACTACATCTCTTGTAAAAATGCATGTAGCTTGAATGTTGAGTGAAGTCTGAGTTGTCGAACCTAAAAGGATCAAAACAATAGCTTAATGCTTGGAAAGCAAAATGGCAGCTAAAAGTAGCAAAAGTCTTTTTTATATTTATTTATTTTTATTTATATTTTTGAAAGGGGACAGTGAGGTTTAATAAAATATATGACCATTCATAAGTTAAAATAAGCCGGAATTATCCAAAATACAAGAATACTGCAACACCTACACAATTAAAACAGATGAGAAACTGGACCAAACAATCGTGACACACTAAGAGAAAAAAATAAGCTTTACTGCGAAAAATAAAAATAATACAAATATACAATAAGAAACGTAGATATGATCATAATATTTTCATTAAGCACCCATGTTTTACGTGCTTAATGAAAGCCTTGTAGCTCATTGTTGTCTGATGAATTCCAAAGTTGCTCCTCCTCGGAGGGATAACAGTCTCCTCTAACACCGCCTGTCACACACTCACTGTTGTTTTGAGATGTCAAACAAGAAGTTCGACAGCCGGTTCGGATGTTATCAGTCCATTAAATAGAAATTTTTAGCGGTTATCAGTCCCATAGAATGGCTTCAAACTGTCCCGACAGTGCCCCCTAGTGGGTTACCAGTGCCWTATACATTGGAATGCAACAATCTGCTACTGCCGGAGTCCGGTCTGCTTTATCATAGCCCATGTCATTTTCTCTAACACTAACCTTAGTGGCTTTCATACTAACCAACTGAAAGTCTGAAGCCATTCTATGGGACTGATAATGGCTAACAACGTCCATTTAATGGATGATAACATCYGAAGCGGGTGAGTTTGAGTGCCAGGATCAAAAACCAGAACACGCTAATACTGACTGATATGAAAAAAGTCAAATAAATGCTCAAAACAAAGTCGACAAAATCTATCAAAGAAAGCATGAAACAGAGAACTGAAGGAGGAGAAAAGCATAAACTCCTATTTGATGACATTTATCTGTATTTACTGTACGTCTCTGTTGTCCCCAGGTTGTGAACTGTACGCCTTCTGTGGAGCTCTGTTTGGTATCTGCAGCATGATGACCCTGATGGTGATCGCCGTGGACCGGTATGTGGTCATCACCAGACCTCTGGCCTCTCTCGGGGCGATGTCTCACAGAAAAGCTCTCAGCTTCGTGGCTGCAGCCTGGCTCTACTCCATGGGTTGGAGCCTCCCACCCTTCTTTGGYTGGAGTGAGTTGAARAACCAAACCTCTTTACCAACATTTGGAGACATAAAATAACTGCATACTATAACTGTAAATGCAGCATGGAGTTTTTAAAAAGGGCTGAAGGTGGGTTAAAGTTATTATTTGGGTTTGTTATAAAATACTTGAATAGTTCAAAAGAAAAAAAAAACAACTCGATTTCTGTTCTGTTGAAGACACTTTACTTCCCATCRGAGAACTTTGTCCATTCAATTAAAAAAACTGAAGTGTGGAGCAAACATTTAAACTGTAACACTTTACTGACATTATTTGTTGACACGTGTGGTAAATTAATTCATCCAGTGAAGCAGAATGTATCCAAACGGTTCAGTTTTCTACATGGATCAAAAATAAGTGCTGCAGAATTTAGTGTTTATTTGGCGAAATGTGAGTAAAACGCTTCAAGAATTAAAAACAAGACACAAATCAGGGTTTTTCCGAGTTCTTACCATGCGACGGCGTTCAGTAACGAGTGTATGTTCTCCTGAAGGTGCGTACGTCCCAGAGGGTCTGATGACGTCCTGTTCCTGGGATTACATGACGTTCACCCCTTCAGTTCGCTCCTACACCATGCTGCTCTTCACCTTCGTTTTCTTCATCCCTCTCTCCATCATCATCTTCTGCTACTGCTGCATCTTCAGAGCCATCCAACTCACAACCCGGTTGGTACCTGAACACATGCGCACTGCTGTGTAAAGCAACGTTCACATTTATTTTTAAAGAAAATGTGAAAGTTGCTTTATACTTACTTAAATCAGGTGATTGGAAATTCTTGACGTAACTTGATTAAGTAAATCCAACAACCTGTTTTTTAGTGTACTTTTAACTTTTATTAGTTAGCGCTTTTATAACTTTTACTTAAATACTTTTTTAACAGTGAAATGAATTTTTACCAAAGTCAGTTTCTGTTACTTATTATAGTATATTGTATAGCCTACCTCTGATAAACACTGATATTCATACATGTCAAGTTGTATGGATTGACCGTAATTTACACAGATTTTCCATCATTTTGCAGGTATATGAACATATATAGAGCAATATCACAAATTTTTTTCACGTTTTACAGATTTTTTCAAAAACTCAGTTTCYAATTTATTTAACATATCAGACCCTGTAGGATGTAAAAAAAAAACAATTAATAAATTAACAACATTAAATATCCACTTCAAACCCACACTGCTGCTACAAATAAGTTCTTCCATTCCTTCCTTCTGATATTGCTGCAGCTGACAGTCCACCTGCACCCCCCGCATTTGATTAATATGGATTGTTTTTGTGAAAATTACATGTTTTTGAAGCTCATTATACAGGTAAACTTCTGAAGGGGTTGACATGTATATTACTTCACAAAGAAACAAATAAGGGTTTTAAAGAACTCAAAATGCAGATTTTTAGGTAAAAAATTGCAGATTGTATTGTAAACACGACTCTGTGCTTGGCAGAGCAATAACAAAAATCAACTGTAAGGAGACCAAAGGCTCTGCAAAGAAGTTCCATAAAATGAGGAGCGAGTGGAAGATGGCTAAAATCGCCTTCATCGTCATCCTGCTGTTCGTCATCTCCTGGGCTCCGTACTCCTGCGCAGCACTCACAGCGTTTGCAGGGTGAGGACAAACCTGCAGGACTGAAACGTTGGGAAATTTTGATGGATTTCTTTTTTTATTATTATTTATTCATTAAAACAAATGATAAAAATCTAGATACAATAAAAAACAAAACGATTATAAAATGAAATGAAAGGAAGCCGAGGGAGGAAAAAAAYATTATTTGCCTGATGATTGTATTGCTTCTAAAAATATTTTTTTCAGGTCAAAAATTGCCCACAGCTTTTGTGACAGGACTTCATATAGAAAAAGWAAAACATTATTTTCCAGAACAACAGCTCTGTGTGGAAACTGTAATGTGGTTTGAGGTTGTTTTGCTGTGCTTCCATTTGAAAAGCGACCGCTAAAAGAACATTTCAAGGCATTTGGAGAAAAAAAAGTGGGTCAAAACAGCCCACCCAGCACAAGTTCTTCTACTATGAAGTGACGAAGAATAAAGGACCTATAGAAATGTTGGAAGACAACCTGAAGCCAAACGTTCATGTGATCAAACTCAGCTTYCCAGAGTTCAACATGTTCTGGACAAACAAACATCTGGCTGGATGGTAAACATTCTGCTGTGGTGGGTTCCTACAGGGGCTCACAGCAAAACAAACAACAAAACCTTGTAGACTTTCACTCACTGCCTGATAAGATCAATTAGATTCCTAAATGCTTCCCAGAAGTCTAAAGAGTTTTTGCTAAACATTTATTCAAACAAACCATTTCAAAAGCTCAGAGAACTGATTTATTTCTCAACAATTTGTAGGTAAAATCAAAAACGATCATCTAATTTTTGAGCTTCATTTTGTATTTGATCTCATAAGATGCAAATATTTTCATTTTTTTATATACTTATAAAACTCAGACAAGCTCAACACAAAACCATAATGAAGCTTCTTGTTGCTCAGTCAAAAAAAGTTCCATTTAATTTGCCTAAAGAGTGAAAATGAAACATATTTTGTTTTTGAGGATAAACTGCAGTTTATGGTTGAGTAAACAYGTTACTGAACGTAAAAAATAAGTTTGCTGCTCGGATTGAATTATTTTCCTTCTTCAGTTGTCTGTACTTAAATGAGTGTTTGTTATTTTGAYTCATTTTTAATGAAAAAAAAACTTCCCAGTCTTGCTGGTTTTAATGATAAAAAGATTTAACAGTAATTTTGTTCAAATCCATCATAACTTCRCCCTGAAAGGGAACAAATCCAACATTGCTTTAATATTTATTCTCATTCAGTCTGATCCGACAGATCACATCCATTCCATTTGAATATTTCTACCTGTTGTCTCGTCTGTTTTTTTTTTCCTCACAGGTAYGCCGACTTGCTGACTCCATACATGAACTCTGTTCCTGCTGTGATMGCCAAAGCCTCAGCAATCCACAACCCCATCATTTACGCCATAACCCACCCCAAATACAGGTCGGACCACACTGTGGCCTTTAAGTTTTTTAAATGGCTTCGATTTTTGCTTTACTTTTAACTGAAACGGTTGTTCCGTTTGTGTTGTTCAGCTTGTGTTGTTCTTTAACGAACCCTTTATGTCAGCTTTGCTCTTTAGAAGAGTCTGCGTTGGTTAAGTTCCCACAGTCCTTCATTCTGAAGAGACTCTGCAGAGAAATACATCAAAAGCAGTTGTTTTCCTAAATGTAGGGGGAAATGATCATTTGAAATAAAGAATTTCTTAAATTGATTTCAGTGTCAGATAATTTGCACAAACTCAAATTTCAAATTTGTCAGAATAAAAAATGCCACCTAAAAATCAATACCTATGGTTAGACATGTGGTTAGTAGGTATTCCTTTTCTCAGCTGAGAGGTTTGTCAAAAATCAAACCTTTTCCTGTCTAGGCAACATTTAGAGTCGCGATCTATTGCTTTTATCACCTCACGTCTGGATTACTGTAACTCTCTTTTGATTGGAATTAGCCAGGCTTCTCTCTCACGTTTGCAGCTGGTGCAAAATGCTGCACTATTTTTAACTGGGCTAGGTAAACGAGAGCATATAACTGCAGTTTTGGCTTCTCTTCATTGGCTACCTGTTCRGTTTTGAATCCATTTTAAAGTTCTTTTGTTTGTTTTTAAGTCTCTTAATGGTCTTAGACTTTCTTATTTGTCTGAACTGCTTCAACCGTGTATACCATCACGTGTTCTTAGATCATCTGACCAGAACCTTCTAGTAATCCCAMATACCCTTTACAAATCCAGAGGAGACAGAGCCTTTGCAGCTCTGGCTCCTCAATTATGGAATGAGCTGCTGCTGAAGGTCAGGCAGGCCCCAACTCTTTCTGTTTTTAAAACTTGCTTAAAAAATAAAATTGTATGGTATGGTATTATGGTATGGTATTATGGTATGGTATGGTATGGTATGGTATGGTATGGTATGGTATGGTATGGTATGGTATGGTATGGTATGGTATGGTATTATGGTATGGTATTATGGTATGGTATGGTATGGTATGGTATGGTATCATGTAATAGTATGGTATGGTATTATGGCATGGTATGGTATTATGCTATGGTATGGTATTATGGCATGGTAGAGTATTATAGTATGGTATGGTAGTATGGTGTGGTATGGTATTATAGTATGGTATGGTAGTCTGGTGTGGTATGGTAGTATGGCATGGTATGGTATTATGGTATGGTATTATGGCATGGTATGGTAGTATGGTGTGGTATGGTAGTATGGCATGGTATGGTAGTATGGTATGGTATTATGGCATGGTATGGTAGTATGGTGTGGTA